CGAACAACCCACCTACTGTTGGTAAGGAAAGGATAGTGCCTTCTGAGAGATGTTCTTGTCGTATGGGAGAAAACCTGGAAAACTCCCACTAGCAGCTCGACTATCGATGCGCGACCCTTTTTACACGTATTGTCACAATCTCCATCGGATCTTCTGCTTTCTTGAAGCAGTGGGTACAACAATGTCGCCAGTGTATTAAGATAAATGGGGAATTATAATTCTATAACAATCGAAATTAGATACATTATGAATTGCTCACAAAGTATAATTAATCGATTTCAGTAAATTTTGAAACAAGTAATTTTGTTTTCCTACTAATAATATATATTATTGCATATAAAACACTTAATTTGGAGAAAGTATTAATAAAAAAAATTAAGTGTTATTCGAAATTTATATAAAAATAATCACAAAATACCGTTTCTAAAATAAGAATAATTAGTGTAATAGGGCATGTTATTGCAATTCCCTATAGGAAAACATAAGTTAATTTTTAATTTATTATTCTTATCACACTTTTATATTAGTTTAATGTTTTATAAATAATGTTTGTGTTTTTAAATCATTTTTAATATTATAGTGATAATTTAATGTCCCAACTGAGAAACTATACCAGCAATGCTTATATCTTAAACTATTGTTAATTTATTATAATATCTAATGAAGTTGTAGGATAACTTAGGAGTTTATAAATGCAGTATTTATTCAGAAGATTATTATATTAAAATCTGACAAGTTTAAGGTAAAAAAAATTATATTGTTTAAGTACAACATCAATGTGATGAAAAGTTTTTTGCAACAAAATCAAGGTAAAATTGAAATAAAGAAAAAGTTTATGAAAAAATTTTCTCATTTATCCATTGATAGATATACACAAAGTTTAGAAACCTTTTCTTTGACGACGATTTATTGAAGAAAAAAAATGAATAAGTCTCAATCGTAATGACGTTCAAAATTTTGAACATTTGTGAACAAGAATTTTAACTATGTTCAAGCCAAATAAATTGCATAAATTAAAATTAATATTTTCAAAAACGTTTATTAAAAATAAATAAAATCTTAAAAATAAATAAAATTCATTTAAAAATGAAATTGATTTTGTTTTTTATTGTTTTTATTTGTAATTTATGCCCCGTGTGCATATTTTAGGGATATAAAATGCATACCTCTTTAAATAGTGTATTGCCAATTTATTTATATTTTATTAAAGCATGTATATAAAACTTAAAGTTTTAACATGTATATAAAACGTAAAATTTTAAACATGTATATAAAACTTAAAGTTTTAAACATGTATAGATATAGTATACATATATATTTGATTTTTTTTTTTTTTTAATTTCAAATATATATATAAATTTTTTTCATTTTATCATTAAAAATGTGTTTTTTTATAGGGAGGGAACATAACTACGACAACACTTGCTTTAGTATGTTTATATGAAGTTATTACATACGATGCCCCTTGTCTTCAGGCTCTCATTGATGGCAAAGCTGTGAAATTATTTCTTAATGTCATTGAAGCCAATTTCTTAGGAGTTCGAAAATGTCAGGTAATATTGCTAGGTTTTTTTTTTTCACAAATTATAGAAAAAATTAAGTTATATTTCAGATAAGGAATGCATAGCAGTTAATTGCGAATGTCATGTCTTTATGTGTATATTGTTAACTAAGTAATTTTAATATCTAAAATTATTCAAGATCATTATCAGATTCATTATCACATATAATTCAATCATTCATTCAAAATTATTAGATTCATTATCAAATACAAGGGCTATTTTTTCTCCAACTTCTGATGAGGCATTAAATAAAGACAACTATGAACCAAACTGTGTTTATTACCAGAAGTCAAATGCAATCAGTGTTACTTTTCTACGTAATAACCTCCAATATCGAGACATTTGTCATATTGGTGGACTAGATTTCCAATACCCTCCTCATAATAGGTTTCCATCAGAGTACTAGGATAGGTTTCCACTGCAGGTTGAACCTCCTCATTGATGAGAAAACTCTGTCCTCCCTGACAGCTCTTCCGGCCTCGTAAGAGATGAAAGTCACTCGGCGCCGGATCTGGGTTGTACGTCGGCTGATCGAACACTTCCCATTGAAATTGGGCAACAAGCTGTTTGGTTGCTACAGCAGTATGCGGTCGTGCGTTGTTATAGATGAAAACAATTCCAGCCATTAACACAGCTCGTTTCTGATGAATTACTACAGAGCTATTTCTTTTTGCCTGTAAGAAACAAATAAAGCTATGCAATTCGTACTTGGCGGGAAAATCAATCCTAGCAGTCTTGTTAATATACTTGTAGCTTAAATCCAATGCATCTGTCAGTAGTACAAGATGTTTCGGTGAGAAAACTGAGCAGATTCGTCTTGTAATTGCTCGGCTGGTCGTTTAACAGCGCCATCAGGGGTTTCCTTCTACCTAGTTTTGTTTTTCTAGTAACAGCACTTAATTCCTAAGAGCAATGCTGCTTTCTTAACGTTAATTCTTTTTATTTTTAAATTCTTGTTTCTTATCTAATTATGCAGCTTAATTTTAAATTTTTAACCGGAGGTGCGAGGATTTTTCCCCCGGTACTCCGATAAATAACACAACTTTGCACTTTGCCATCAGGGGTTGAAAAATTAACACTAGTATATAAACGAACCCTACTTTGATGCCCTATTCATTAATAAATAACTATGTCCTATTGAGCATCAGCCGTAGCCCGGAGGAAGTACATGCTAGCCAACGTAAAGAAGATGCAGGTCTGCTAAAATATACAAATTTGTTCATATAAAGTTTGGATTTTTTTAATGCAGTATAAACAAGATCAATTTCTTATGTGTGTATTTAAACCTCTTTATTAATATTCTTTAAACCGTTCCGAAACCACAATGCTTTCTAATTATTCTTCTCAACTCTTTTCTTTCTAATTATCTCCTCCAGTGGAAGGCGCTGTGCGTTTGAAATTTCACTTTTTTCCATCTGTCCTGAATGTGTCAAGAATGTACTTGGGTTTATTTTTTGTACCTCACAGCCTTTCAACCGATTTCTATAATTCCCCCCCCCCCCCCCCCAAAAAAAATCTGACGCTTAAAATTGAGCAATTAAAATGGTGTCTAAAAATGCAGTTACTGTGATATTCAGGAGAAAAATAAAATAGAAAGGAATGCAGAAACAAACTCTTGATTTGATACTTTCTCTGCCAGACGACTCTCATGAAGTCGAAGCGTCGAGTTCATGAGAGTTCATAGTTCATTTCTGATAAAGCAGCTTCCAGACGAGTGTATGAGAACAAGAGAGTCAGTGTCTCGAATCAATTATAAATAGGTTTGTCTCAGAATGGACAGAATCCTTGGAATGAGTTGACTGACTCAATCCCGCTCCGATCAGTGTCAGCTTTTCCTGCAAATTAAAGGGTTTTCTCGCTGACATTGCACCTGCGGAATTTTATTCTATTTTTCTTTAAATTTATTTTTAACTTTAACCTCTTATCTTTTTTTTGGGCATCGTCAACGGACTCTTAATTGTACCGATAGCTTAGCTTTTACGATCTCTTGCTTTAATTGTTCTCAAGCAAGAGATGTGTTTCCTAATTTTTAAATTGTTTTATTTTATTTATCACTACTCTCTTATTTAAGCAAATTCATTTGTGCAAATTTTTTAACTAAATTAAGATGTGGAGGTATTGTGGTTCTTAAAACCCCCTAGGAACTCCGTAACTGGTACGCCCGTTGCCCTGCATCTGCGGAGTTATATCACTGCTCAGTGGGCCGACTCTAACCCTCTAGCATGGCCATATATGTCTCTTTCGAGCTGCTAAATGGGTTAATAATTAACTTCTGTTTTAATAATTCTTAAAATAATTTAACCTCTTTATTACTTAATTCAATGACATCTTATAATTTAATTCATGTTAAGTTTGCAGCCTTGAGATGCTTGAGTAAACTCATCAACTGCCGAGTTCTTCAGAAAGATGTAATGAGCACAAGAGGAGTATTTTTGCTATTCAGGTGCTTAAATAATAGTGACTATGAGCTGATGCTTTCTGCCATACAAATGATTTCCGATATATCATCAGATCCTTCTTCTTGGGCAGCATCTCGTGATTGTGGCGGAGTACAGAAACTTGTAAGTATTCAGTTACGATATTTTACCAATCATTTCCATTCTTAAAAGATTTTTTAGAAAGAAAAAAATTAATATCAAACTAGTTGAAACATTAAAACTAGAAATATATTTTTTGATATGTCAGAAACGAAGCCCGATGGCTAAATAACTAGCGCTCGATGCCCCAAGTTTCGGGTTCAAGTCCCGTCGGTACCATGGATGCTTGTAGGGGTTCGGAATCCACCTTAAATCGTAGGTCTCGGTCTAATATGATTGTTGGGGGTAAGGCTGAAGACCCTACCCCGTAAAAAGAAAACATCGCCTGTTTCAGAATCTGCCAGTAGGTGGACGGCCATGGTCCAAACATGGAGTGTAGTGCCGGGGAGTTAAATTTTTCAGAAAATTTTAAAAATTTTTTTTTTTTTTTTTTAATATTTCCAATAGTATAATTCATTTTGTGTGGAATTCACAGCTGACTTTAGCATATAAATCCATTTTCTTTCAACAGACCAATCGAGATTTGACGCGTTTGAGACACAAAATGGAATTGACCGATCCTTTTGAAATTCCAATATCATCAGCAAGGTCTCTAATTGTAAATCGATGGTTTGCAAGCACCAAATCTTTAATTTTTTGGATATGAGATTCGTCGGTTGAGGTTGAGGGTCGTCCAGAGGGCTCTTCGTCTTCAACGTGTTCTCTGCCTTCTTTGAACTGTTTATACCACTTCTAAATATTTCTTTCCGATATAGGAATGCTCACCGAAAGAGGAATTTTTAATAGAACAACTCAGGCTGATGGCACATTTCTGGTTAATGCATATAAATGGCATCTTCTCCTCACTCTAATCGTATTAATAAATTGAGACACTTCTACATTTGCTGTACTACTTTGTGCCAACGGCTATTCCATGGTGAATATACCGATTCTCGTTAGATCACCGAAGTCAAGCATCATTGGGCGAGGTCAGTACTTGGGTGGGTGACCACCTGGGAACACCGCGTGCCGTTGGCATTCACAAATGTGGGACCTGAATGACCGAGTGTCTAGCGCTCTGGCGCTCGGTGCCACAGGTTTCGGGTTCGAATCCCGGCGGTGCCATGGATGTTTGTGGTGGTTCGGAATCCACTTTAAGCCATAGATCCCGGTCTCCTATGACTGCAAGAGCGTCACGGAGCCAAAGTCAGACTTCTACCTACGGGTGCTCCATCACAACAGAAGCTGCTTCCTTCCCCTTCAACCATGAGTACGTATGGGCTCGTGGGCTTGGCCAGCCAAGTGGGATAAGAAACAACAAAACAACTTTAAGTAAAACTATTAGTTACTATTAGTTATATTATTAAATATATCACACGTAACATACGAAAACACAACATAAACAATTTCCTCAAAACATTACGTTATCAATTGATACACAGTGTTCTTCTAGAAATAAAATGTTTATTTATTTTTTGAAGTAAAAGATGTCTGCATACACTGTTAGTAAGATGATTTGACTTCCTTTTATTTAACAACTTCCCTATGTGGTCAATTTTTGTGTGATTTGATTTCTTGATTTCCTTGTGTGGTCAATTTTTGATATAATAGAGAGAGAGAGAGAGCTGTGTTGTCTAGGGGTTAATTTGAAATCAATGAAGAAACAGGGTGTTTCCTTATTGGCCATTTTAATTACACACTATTATCTGCAGTTATATTTGCATTGATTAATAATTCTGGGTTACACAAATATTCTCCGCCATCTTCATTCTCTCGCTGCGTCATGTAGTTCTTTCGTAGACGGCAAACCTTGCTTTTTTCTCATCTCATCTACGGGGATCTGTCCCCTTTTCCTGGGGTCAAAGTTCAGAGTTCATTACTCCCCACATGGTGAAAAGTCTCGGTCATCGACACATAAATATCATATGCCGCCGCAGCCTGACAATTAGCAGACAAGCAAATCCTACTTATATATATATATATATATATATATATATATATTACATTTATTTATTTTTTGCAAATGTCCTTTTTCACGCATGTATATATTATACATTGAAATATCAAGAGTAGAAAATCCATATTCAGACTTGTATTTTTAGCTAAGATCACTTATTCAAAAGAAAAAGTGTAAAATACAGTGTTTGTGTCTCAAGTGTTAGTTTGTCTCAATTAAGGGCCTGAATGGCCGAGTGGCTAGCGCTCTGGCGCTCGGTACCACAGGTTTCGGGTTCGAGTCCCGGCGGTGCCATGGATGTTTGTAGTGGTTCGGAATCCACTTTAAACAGTAAGTCCCGGTCGAACATGATCGTAGAGCGTTGCGGGGGCATTGTTACTCCGCGTCCGTGGCTTATCTTCAAGTTACACGCGCCCCCTGGGTAATGCAAAGTGAGTAAGGTTTATGCAAAGCTTGCCTTAAGGCATCCAAGACCAAGTGTCTAAGTGTTTGCCATCTGCAGTAGAAGGAAAAAAAAATTTGTCTCAATTTCCTGCGTAATTTTATAAAATAACTATCACCATCTTCAAAATAATTTTATATAAATGTTTGATTTCGATAAATTTATTGAAAGTAAAAATTGCTTAAAATTCTATTGAAAATGTATAAGCGAAGTTTTAAGAAGCTATGCCTTGTCCAACATTTGTTGGACATAAGCCTACTACTGTGCCCAAAAAGTAAGACCAACTATTAAATTTTTTTTTTCAAAAACTCTTTATTTATTCTTCCAAATTTATTTCATCGCCTTCAAAGTAATCCCCTCCGGACACAATGCACTTATGCCAACTTTTTTCCAATCCTCAATACCTGGCATCCAATACTCACGGCAAGGATGGCCTTCAAAGCGCTCGGCGATTCACGTTGAATCTCTTCAATCGACTCAAAACGGTGTCCCCGAAGTGGTCTTTTGAGTTTAGGGAATAGACAGAAGTCGCACAGTGTGAATACGGTGGTTGTGGAAAGATATGGAATTCATTTTTGGCGAAAAAGTCACGAAGAATCAATGCAGTGTTTCGGTACCAATCGAGATTTGACGCGTTTGAGACACAAAATGGAATTGACCGATCTTTTTGAAATTCCAATATCCTCAGCAAGGTCTCTAATTGTAAATCGATGGTTTGCAAGCACCAAATCTTTAATTTTTTGGATATGAGATTCGTCGGTTGAGGTTGATAGTCGTCCAGAGGGCTCTTCGTCTTCAACGTGTTCTCTGCCTTCTTTGAACTGTTTATACAACTTCTAAACATTTCTTTCCGATATAGGAATGCTCACCGAATGCCTTCTCCAACATTCTATACGTTTCCGCAAACAAATTGAATGCAAGTTCTTTGCTGAATTAATTCAGGCAATTCAAAAATCGCCGGAATCAGTTTTAGCGTCTCACAAAGCCTAGAGTAACTCAAACGCTAATGAATATTTTATATAAATTTCACACAGATGTTTAAAAAAGAAAAAAAAATGGAAATTCCATAAGTCCCGGGAGTTTTAAATTGAAAATTGGTCTTACTTTTTGGACACAGTAGTATCTCATATAGGACATAGTGCAGGAATAATACAACATGATGAATTATATAACATACACTTTTATAATAGATACTAGATTATTAATTATTTTTAGATACTTATATAATACACACTTTTATTACCTAATATACAAAATGAATCTCATATGATAGAATAGAATTTTTCCCTTCAGAAAGATATGGGATATGGTCTTAGCATTCTATATTTTATGAATTTAACATGCTATTATTTAATTTTTGTATTTTATTATTTTAGTAACAAATATTTAAAAAAATTTGTACTGTTCAATCTATAAGATATTAATATAATTATTTTATATTTCCAAATTATTTTGTTCATTTTAGATAAATTTGTTGAATGCCCATCAAACGAAGTTAACTTGCACTTCTCAAACTTCCAAAAGTGACCTCCTGAAACTGAAATTAACAGTAGCACAATATGCTGCGAAATCTCTCTCCATTCTTTACAAAGACGAAGAAAACAGAAGAGTGGCATGTGCTTCAAACATCATTAACGTGTGTCAGTTCTGGATTCGAAGCAAACACCAAAATGTTACAATTCCAATTTTAATTTTACTGCAACATCTTTCATTGGCTGTAAGTTACATGGATGTACATTAGATTTTGAAAATATCACTATATAACCCAGTAGTTTTCAAACATTTTACAGTCACCCTGCATTCAGCAAGAGGAAAGATTGTGACAACCCTCCTAATTTTCTAATTATCAAACTATATTTCACAGAAATGTTGACATTCTACTCAGTTTATTTTTTATTTATAATAAATAAATTATACATTTCTTTAACTAAAAATTAAGCAATTCGTATAACTAGATCACAAAAATTAATTTTATTGCATACAATTTATGAATGTGTGTGTAGCAATCTAACGGCAACTTAACGAACAATGCTTACATTTTCCTTAAAACAACATTCAGAAGTCAAAATTTATTAAAATATATAAAGTCCTGTTTTTAAATAACTTTTCTAAAAATATAGTATAAAATGAAAAACCATTTTGTAGTGTGCAGGTTGGGCAACCAGTTGCAACTGGGTGTGGTTGGGTTGAGATATTTGAGGCACAGGTTTTAAAACTCACTGCTTTATTTACACATGCACAAATACCACACACATACGATTAGAGACATACAATATTTATCACATTTAAAGACATAATTATTGATTCGTGGAGGGACTCCACTTCTAAACCGAGAATCCGAAACTCGCTACGCGAAGAGTGCTCGTAATACTTCTCCGAGGGAGAGTCTGTAGGCCAACTAATGCGCCAGGATGCGCTAAATATATTTTCTCTCGGGATGAGAGATTATAAACTAAACGTTTCTCTGCGGGAACGCAGGTTGAGCTATACTTTCTCTCGGATGAGAGTCTCGAGGCCGACCATTTCACCTGAACACCACAGAGGCGCTTCCTTTCCAGTGTGTAGCACCGTTACAATTTTAAATTTACTAATATTTTATCCTTTGTTTTGATTTCATAGTTACTAAAATAAAAACACTTCAACTTCATTGATGTTAGTAATAGTTACAATGAATAATTTGCAGAGTTCACTTAACTTTTATAGTACGAAATTCTCTTGGAATACGGACTTAAAATGAAGAAAGTCGGATGGCAAGTGCTAACTGATCATTTTAATTATTTCGTAAGAATAAATGAGAAAGAACATCGACAATTTTCGAGATTTGTTTAATTTTTTTTAAATTTCTTTATAAAGTTGTAATTTGTAATTTCATTTTGTTATTAATGTAACACAATTACATATATTTTAGTATCAGATTTACTGTGATTTAATTAAAATTTTAAAAAAAGAAATTATATATGTGAACAGAGACACCAAGTTGAGGCTTTGGGCAATATGTTGTGAAGGAAGCTCTTTAGTACGTCAAATGTATAAGTTAAAATTATAAATTTCATTTATAAATTAAATTTTTAAGCTAATTATATAAAATTCATTTAGCACGTTCCCTCCGGAAAGTTTCCAAGGTTCCACATGGCGAAGATAGCACTGCGGTCTGAAGGTTTAAAAATTATGGTTGAAATGGTGTCTTAAAATACAGCACTTTTACCCATACGTGTGGACGGTACATAGAATGAAATATGCAAATATATTGGATTCATGTTCTAGTGAAAAAAACTGTGTAGTTTATTTAATATAAAATAAATTAGTAACATATTCAAATACAACTTGATGCTTTCGAATATCTGACATTTTGACCTAAGTCATTTGCCATTACAATTTCAGATTTAGCGTTATCAAGGGTGAACCAAGATGAAGGAGGGGAGGGTGAGAGAAGGTTGCTATATAATTCTTATATTCTTATATACCCTTGTTCCACCTAAAGCAAGTAAAAAAAAAGCAATGCATGAGAATTCCCTTCTACACTAATTAAGAATTTAAATACTAGATCATGTTGTTGTTGTTTCTTATCCCACTTGGCTGGCCAAGCCCACGAGCCCATACGTGCTCATGATTGAAGGGGAAGGAAGCAGCTTCTG